TTATCACGATGAGTTCTAGTAGTTATTGGGAGACACGTGAACCAATAATAATGGGAGGCTTTCAATCAGATTGGTTCTGATGGCTTCTTCATTGAGAACATCCAATAAGCACCATCTCCGCCTTATGAAATCAGCATTCCCGCAAATCAGCTAAGTTTTTATTATTGAGGCAAAGTGGATATTGAAATAACTGGAGTTTAACGAGCAAAGCCATTCATTTCCACTTTTAGTACTGTTGGTGTTTTTTAGAAGGACTGAAAGAATGCTAGACCACATTATATTCCAATTACCACATTACAGACTTAGGGATCTATCTCCTACTAATCTACTCTACCACGACGAAATCGAGAAGGAGGTAGAAAAGTCAAAAATAACGGTGGAGAGATTTTATTGAATGAGAGTCAAGGACCAAGAGGGGGTGGGGGAGGTGACGATGAGATCAGAGTACGTATGTGGATAAGTGAATTACAGATTGACCGTGCATCCCTGGCGAAGGAATATGTGTGCGATTCAGTGGGAATCCGATAGGACATCCAATCGGCGAATGACCGAGGAAGAACTGTGAATAAAGTGCACTCTATTTCGCCATTACAGATTTTAATTAAGAATACTCAATCAACAAATACTTATTTATTAAGACAAAACTATTGAATGTGCTTAAAAGTAGGTTCAGCTGTCAGTTTGTCTGACACATAGATCCACCGTTATGTTAATTAACCAAATTTAATTATATGTAATTCATCGTTTCAGGCCATGATCCTATCGGACTTTATACCGGGTGACGTGATGTTAAATTCAGATCAAAGGTATGCCTGCATTTTAGATCCTATTCTTCTGGTGATAAGCAAAATAAATTATATTGCTCAAAACAGTGGCGCATGTTGCAAAGTGAAGATTGGTGAAGAAAAAGTTCGATCGCCAACTTCGAGTCAAAGTGAAGAACCGAATTTCCCTGAACAAGAAAAATTAAAATCGATAGGAGAAAAGGAAGAGACTTTAAAGTTTGTCTACTACTTATACTACTTTTAAGTATTTGAAATTTATGCGATTATCAAATATGATATTAATAAAAGGAAATATTTCAGGGATTCCGATATAATTAATGCAACGATGGACTATTCTGTAAAAGGACCCCCATTGCCACCAAGGGAACGTAGGAAGTCCGATTTTGAATCGAATGGAAGCTATACTGCACCAACCTCTGAGTTAGAAGCGATTCCCAAGTGAGTGCGTCTTTATTTAAGTTGTGCACCTAAAGTAGTCCACAAATTCCAGAATTGTGAGAGACTGTGGAGTTTACAACTCTAACATGGGTGATCCAAGGAACCTCATGTGTCCTTGAGAATTCCGGAGCGTGAAGTCGGGCAGCTGATCGTATGAGGGAGAAAAATGAGATCACCGTTTTTAAGACCTCCCAGCCAATCAACCAGAAATTGATTTCGTGGTGTTAGAGCATCTAAAACTGCAGATAATGACTGATAAATCACAGCTTCAATTAGCGCATACTCCTAGTGATAAGTTCTGTTTCTTCGATATTTTGAAGGTAGCTTACATACTTTTGGCACCCATTACATACTAGGAGATTCTACCGTAGAGTCTGCTTAGATTTAGCCAAGGCTTAGTGGTGTTGCCTACGGCTACGATAAATAATATCACACGCCTTCTATGCTACTTAATATGAAAGTCATGAACTCTAGTATTAGTTCATTCCAAGCTATGTTCAATACTTTCAATTAATCAGTAATAGAATAGCCGCTTTGTTTTTCTTGAATTCAAATTATTTCATTTAGCCATCAGATTGGACGAGAAATGATTGTTTCTTTTCTAGCATTGGCGACACGACTTACAGTGTGGTCGATTCAATGACCAAGGAATTGGAGGTGGTGACACAGGCTGAAAGGAACTCTGGCAACCTAGAGTGCATGGAAGTTGGCAAATGCAACTCAAAAGATGAAGGCGAATTATCACACAAGACGTCACTGTGAGTGAGGGGTACTCTTAAAATTAATATTTATAATAGCACCAACAGCAAAAATGACTGGAGATTGGTAGGAGAATGTTATAAAGTTAGATTGAAGGAAGTAATGAGCAATAGGGAGATGTAGAAGTTTGTAGCAGATTGCTACGCTAGTCTCGAACATGTAGCGGATTGCTACCTTCGTAAAGCCTTGGTTAAAGACTTGTAGCGGATTGCTACCTTAGTAAAGCCAGACCGGTTGAGAATTGTAACGGATTGCTACCTTAGTAAAGCCTGACCGGATTGCATTGTAGCGGATTGCTACGCTAGTAAAGCCTGACCGAAATCTCTATGGCAGATTCTCCAACACCTAGCTAGACTCCCAGAACAGCTAAGCTATAGCTCCACGGATTGCTACGCTAGTAAAGCCTGACTGACTCAGAAATATTGCTACGCTAGTAAAACCTGACTGACTCAGAAATCTCTATGGCAGATTCTCCAACATCTAGCTAGACTACCAGAACCAGATAGGCTACAGCCCAGGTATGAAAGAAAACAGACATGTAGCACGGAGCACGTTTATTCATTACGGATATGTTGCGGATAAAGTGTACACGCAGGGAGCTTAATCATGATCAGGATGGCGGATTAGGTTGAACAAACAGATCGCAGGGAGCTTAATCATGATCAGGATGGCGGATTAGGTTTAGTCGCATGATTGGTCACTGTTTGTACGGTCGCACCTCCCAATCCTGGCGTGCAGGCATGCGATGACGTGTCCCACATATGTAGCGGCTTATCTACTTTAGTAAACCTTGACTAAAACTCAGAAACCTCTGTGATAGATTCTTCTATTTACTGAGCCTTTCAGAAGAAACAGACGTGTATTACCAGAACACGCTTATTCGCTAGATAATGGTAGCGTGTCGTGTGGAACAGGAAGTGCTTACTCAGAGCCGGTCTTGCTGTACTTAGACACTCAAGTACTGAATTGGCTTTGCTACCGTCTCATAGTGCTTGGAGTTTTTCTTGTATTCGAATTGGGGAAGGTGGAAATTCAAAAGTACAATAATTCACAATGCAATGCCACAGAGCTTGGTGTTGATAGAGAGAAGGTTGAACGCGCGAAAATGAACTCTAAGAACTTGATCTAGGCAAACTGTCTATTGATATGGAATATAGTCGACCTGAAATGTAAGAAATAACATGATGTTGTATTATTATCTCAACTGAAAAGATAATGAAGTGGAACTATTTTTTTATCACCATAAGTTGTTATATCTCCGTCTTCGCAGTCTTAGAATTAATGATCTGAATGCCCGCCGTCTAATAGTAGTAGAAACAGCCTTAATTCCATGCTTCGTCATGCATCCTTTGAACACATCTACTCCATTCACCAATGAGTAATTCATTTCTTCTTTCAGAAAAATTACCAGTAGAAAACATATTTGGTTTTATTTTGTTGGAATAACGTAGCTTGAAGGTAATATTTGCAAACAATATCACCAGAATAACCAAAACTGGATAAGTGGAGTCAGATTTCAAAACTACAATAAAATGCAATGAAGATTTATATATTTTAAATGGTAGGAGTTTTGATAGTTATCATCGGCCCTTCAGCTGACTTCGGGCTTTATAGAGGGAAGGAATATCAAAGTGAAAAAAGTCGAGGGGGGGGGGGAACAGAAGAGTGTTTCAAAGATGTAAGAGACAAACGCAAAGGTAGATGAAAAGTGAGTTGAGTACTGTGAAGTAGTCGATTATGACATACAGTGGGG